TATAAACATTTTTTGTTATCAACTACAATAATGTTTTTGTAAATATCAAGAATATCCAACATTGTAGATTATTATTGGTTAGCCAAGTATTGAAGTAGACGAGGAAATATTTTACTATCTGTTAATTTGTGAAAAATGTGTAATGAATTATTTCTTTTGTAATGAGACTAGTTCAACAAAAAAAAAAAAATCAATTCCATTTTCTATTTTTTATATAATATAGTAGAACCTTGATCTTTAGGGTCTTTTTTTTTTTTATAATGCAGCTGTTTTATAATTCAATTACTCAGCCATTTATCACACCATACCTTTACTGTTTCTTATCTAAAATTGTAATAAGAAAACATATAGGAGCTAAAAAATATAAATAAAAGCAATCTACAATTATTAATATATCAGATTATAATGATATTTTCTTTATAAATTGTATTTGAAGAAATGACAAACAAAATATAGTATCATAAAATTGTTCTAATTACTTTGACAATTTTTTATTATGGTAACACAAGTTTTAGATATTGAATCAGATCTATACCCTAAACGGTTGTTAAAGGCTGTTCCTACTCCACCATTCCATTCATATTTTCTCACTTTTCCATATCTTTACCTTCAGTAACTGGCCAACGTAGATTTAAGTATTGGATTATATTTGTGCTTCCAAATGACTCGGTTTCATACAATATACAATTATAAAGCAAGCTTTATATCTGTATAAAATATTGACTTTGTTTTGTCTATGATTCTTAACATTTGTTCATTTGTGACAACCCATAATTACTTGAACAGTTAATTCATTTTCCTTATTGTAGGTTGATAAAAATGCAAATGTAAAAAATTAAACCTTATAATATTTAAAATTATTACCATACATTTACTGTTAAATTTGTGTACCATATTTGCTTATACATAACAATCAAAAATATATTCCGCATTTGAAACATGAGCAACAGAATGGTTATTAATGCAATAATTATTTTGTTCTTTCTAAGTGTTTACTACTCAATTCAATCAAATTACAAAAAATAAACAGTATTTTCATCAAAAGATAAAAACCTGAAAGTTCAAGGTTCTACTGCTATTTGAGATTTTCCAATCCATTTGAACATTCAGTCTAAAAAGTTAACCACTTGACTCTAGCTAATTCAATCACATACAAAAAGAAAAGGAATTAGGTACTTAAATTGTAATTGTAAAAGAAAAAATTTAATTTAAAAAATATTTAAATTAAAACAATGATTATAATTAATCCTTTTATTTTAATATTCTGATTAATAAAATAAAATGTACTTACCGTAGAACAGGGAAGGTAATTTTTTTGCTCACAGCCGCATTTTTATTAATGAGACAAATCGTTGCTGTACTGGACATTTTCTGAGTAAATATTGCAACTTTTTAAACCTCTTACATGTAGAAAGGGGAGTATAATTTATTTCTTTAGATTATTTATTTTAAAGTCAGAAATTTCTTTTATCTGAAAGTTAGGTGATAAAAATTCTATTTGTCTTACCAGTGGTTAAATAGATTGGAAAATCTAAAAATCACTAATTTTTCCTCTTAAAAAATTTCAAGAATCTCTAGTTTAAAAAAAAAAAAATAAGTTTGAGTTTGTCGTTATTGACATTGTATTTAATGCAATAACAGTGAAATGTTTAATAAGTGACAATTTTGTTATTGTAATATTTTTTGTAGCAGATTTTATTATATTGGCTCATTAGCTGATCGACTGAGTTGCTAACAGCACTGTACTCTTTAGTGTTTAGAATTTCATACTTCCTACGTGTTTCATTAAAATGTATGTAAACAATTCTTTACTCTGTATCTTCCTAATTTATTATTTAAAAAAGAAATGCCAAAATTAAAACTGAAGATATTTTAAATAGATTCACCTCTTACGGTTTGAATATAAAAACTTCATTCATCAGATTTTGAAAATTTCTGCTCTGACGGTATTTGTGTCTCACACTTGCTACCAATTTGTTAATAATACAGTCAAACCTCTATTAATCGAACATAATGATTTCTTAAAAAAAAGTGATTTAGAAAAATTATAATTGTTTATCATTATAACATAAAATTTGTATTAAAAAATAAGTGTTAAATATTTAGGATATTAGTTGTTTCCATTATTCTACTTCACAAAAGTTTAGATAATTTAATTGCAGATTTTAAAATTATTGAAACAATCTTTTAAATTTGTTTTATCTTTATATCCTAAGTCGTTCATTTATTTGAAAAATTTGTTCAGTCTAAAATAATTTCTATTAATGGCTTGAGTCAAACATTCCATTTATTTGAAAATTATTCATCACTCTTGTAAACAGGCAAATACTATCTTCCCCAAATTTGTATTGGCTTGTGAAATTAAGTGACATCATTTTGTTTTTGTCTATATAATTACTAACTAATGTGTATTAGTTACATTTGTATATTAAAATTCCAGTTGTATTATGTATACGGGATGATTTTTCTGATAAATCTCTGAGATTCCTAGAAAATGGTGTATTGAAATTTTCAATTTTAATTTAATGTTCGATATATAGGAGTTCAACTGTACTTGGATGTAAGTGAAAGAAGTAAAATAATAAAATAAATGATAAAACTCCTTGAATTATTTCATTTTATACTTTAGCACCGGTGAATTGTGCATTTTTCAATTTTATATATACAATTTAAATTGTGGTTTTATATTTAAAATCCATTTTCTATTCATTGTAATTATATTTAATAATATGGTATTGTCCAGGGTATGTATTCTTGAGATTTTAATTCGTCCTGATTTAAAATAAAGTAATATATGTTGTTCGATAAATATTCAGGACGCAGTCATTATAAAGTTTTTATTAGTGCTGATGTTTTAACCCAAACATGTGGGGCGACATCAGGGCATGGTTCGAGCTGGTACTGACAGGTCAGTACTTGAAATCCTTCAGTGCTCGAACCACGCCCTGATAATGACTCACATGTTTGGATTGTAATGTTGGCTAATAAAAACTTTATAATGATTGCTTCCTAAATATTTATCACCCAGGATTTCTAGAACAGTAGACTAACTTCCTCCAATAATATATTTTGAGAAATTCATGATTTTGTGCTTTAATTTTGCTAAGCTGAATTTTTCATAGTTGAAGGAAAATAAAATATATTACTTCATTTGTTATGGTTATATATGTATGCATTTAATATAATTTAATTAGGGAAAAACTTATGTAAATATTTTCAGTATTTAATTTTGATATGTACTGTTTTCTCTATTTTTTTTTTTTATTGGATATGATGAATATATTTATATAATTATAAAGTTATTAAGTATAATATGAAAAGTATTAATTTTTAATTGATATTGTTATATATTACTTATTTTATTGTAGACGATATATATATGAATTATGCAGTTACCTTTCTGAGTTCAAAGTGTTAAATATAAATGTTATAATAATTTTGTCTATAAATGGCTTAATTTTAACTGTGAAAATTATTGTATTCATGCTGAACAGAGGCCGTGTAATGATCAATTACCAAAGATAATTTTTTTATCATAAAAATAAACTTTTAAATTTAATAATATATATATATATATTTTAAATTATTGGTGTTTATTTGTATAATATGTTGTTTTTATTTATTTTTTTTTTTTTGTAAAAGTAACTTTAGTACAAATAGGCAAGAGGCTGTGACCCCAAACAGATTTGATTTTTGTTCTTTCATTGTAAAGACTGATTACACACACTTTAATTTCCTCCCTTAATTCTATACTAATTTTATGGAAATGCATACAAATATGATTTTAATATTTATGTGTGAGTGATAATATTTTTGGTTTATAATTGTCGAGATTGGACTGCTGCAAAATTTGATTTGTTGTGATTTTATTGTTACACTGCCATTGTCAACCATTCCAGAGTAGAATTTTCATACGGTTGCATTTATGATGGGCCAAAACTGTAAGTTATAAGGAAAAATTGATACTTGACCTAATTATTTTCATGTTTGTAAACATTCAATTTTCATATTGTATAATGGGTGTGTTTGCTACTCAAGATTATTAAAATAAACAATTTTTAAGTTCATTTTCCTTAATATCTTTTAGATATATTATACCTTGTTAAGACTTACTAAATTCAATAATAAATCTTACTACTAAAGATATCTAGGGCTGTGTTATAAGCATACCCCAAATGCCATGCATCGCAGGCAAGCATATATATTTTTTATCTTGAAAACAGTTTTATTTACATGCGGAATTCAATTTGTTTTAATCTTTGTTTAACTTTTACATGATAAGTTGTTAACAGAGATTATTAATTCTAGTCTCAGTTCCAGTTCTTATAAAAATTAAAATTTACTAGCCATATAACTCGCAAACATGAGATGAATACCTGATAAAAAATTTTTTTCCAGCTACCTTCAACTCACAGGTCAGTTCTACATCTTCATTGCCACTAATACTTATAAGCTATGGATTCATGATGTCAATACCAGTATAAAATATTTGGTAACTATCTTGAAAAATGAAGTCAATACAGCTTTCAAGTCCTCTCATTAAAAACTTGGATGATCCTCTAAGGATATAATTACACAAAAGGAATTGTTTTTAAAGCATTGTCAGTTATGGATACAAGTGACTAATCGAAAAAAAAAAAAAAAAAAAATAGAATTTAGTAAGTTTGGAAATTTCAGAAAGGGTGTTCCCAAGTATCTATCTAATTAGTCATATATGAGAATTAATTCATTCCTACACCTCAAAATTAAAGTTCTCTTCTAATTATTAATTTAACAATTAATAGGAAAAAAAATTATTACATCATAAAATGATTCAATCCAATTAAAATTGTTTTCAACTAATTTTTTCAGTGTCATGTACTAGGTACTGGTATATGCTTAGATATCCACTGTTTCCATAACAAGACAAACTGATATTACCTCAGAAGTATTGTACAAAAATATGTTTATTTACAATACAATATTAATTTAGGATACATTCATGATTTAACCACTTATTCTTAAGAGTCTTCTTCAGATATTTTTTCTAATTTATTTTTATTCCTGCGTGATTCAACAAATTCATTAAATGTTTTTTCTTCTGTGTCCTCTTTTTTATCAACAACATCTTCACCTTCAGAATCAGAAGATGAATCATCCCCAGGATGTTTTAAGTAAATATCTGAGATTTCTCTTCCAGCCGAAACTGAGGTTATTAATTCAACCTTTTCTCCTATTCCAGGTGTGTTTTGGATCTCCATTAACCTTTCTTCTTCCTTTTTCTTTTTTTCCTCTTCGCATAATGTTTTCTGTTTTTCCCATTCCTGTTTATAATTTTGTTCAAATTCACTTTCAGCTTCATCCACCAACTTCAAAAACTTATCAAAATTTTGTCCAGTCATACTTGAAACTCCAACAGTTAGTAAGTTCTTATAGAATTCATCAAGTGCTAAAGACATAGATCTTGTCAAATTTGAAATATAGCTAGTCTCACTTTCTAAGGCTTCTTCAAATGATTCAAAGTCTCTCATCCATTCCGTGGCATAGGCACTATCAACAATGTCAATCTTATTTATCACAACAATAAAAGGTAATTTAGTTTTATAAAGAATCGAACAAGCATACAGCATGTTAGACATGAATGTTACAGGATTAACACTTTTAGCAGAATCCATGACATAAATAATAATTGTGGTATAACTGGATGCCAATGTTTCAGTAATAATATTACCTGATGCAGACCAAGTAAAAACTTCAATTTGTCCGGGTGTATCAAAAATAAAATACTTATGTCTAGATTTATTTTTATTAATCAGATTCATTACTTGGTCAAACTTAGTTGAAAACAAGTTGAGTGAAGTTACAATACCTCCATTGGGACCTAATCCATATTGCTTCATTACCTCTTTATACTTAACTGTATCTCTAATGTCAATATTTGCTAAATATGGTACTTCCATACAAGCAGGGTCTAAATTAATCACATAAGGAGGATCCTTGTTGTATAAGTAAGATGTAAGGCGGCTTACAAAGGTGGTTTTTCCAGAACCTGCCATACCTAAAACTATCAAACATATTGGCTTAGTTTCAGAAACCAGGGCTGGCTCTGGTAAAGTTTCCATGTTATTTCCTTAATGAGAAATGAGGACACACTACAGGCAAAAAATATAAATATTCCAAACTTATAAGTTTCATTCAGCATACATAACCTTACGCTAGTTAATAGTTATAATGATGATAAAACTATTCCCCATTTAACTATTTATTCTATAGAAACGTAATTTAAGTTCACGGAGATTCATAACATTCTTTTTTCACGAAATTTGTTCTACTACTCAAACCAAAATATAGACCGATACAGCTGTATGAAGAAGGTAATAAAACATTTGTAGTTTAAACAGTGTTGTATAGTTAAATTAAAGACTCATTAAGTATTCCTTTAATTTTGTTCAAATGAAAATTCACTAAAATTATTATCAAGTATTTTGAATTGATAACTACCAATACAGCATGATCAACTATCAATTCAGTATTTTTGAATCATATTATTATTTCATATTATTTGGTTGGTATAGTTGGATTGTTTATTTGTATTTTTTCTGTTCTGGTTAAGGAAGGTTATTCATAACAACATTGGTTATATAAGATCTAGAGTTGTTCTGATAAATATTTAAGTTACAGCTTGAGCAAGAATGGGTGACCGATACAATATTAACAGTCAATTGGAACATCTCCAATCCAAGTACGTCGGAACTGGGCATGCAGATACAACCAAGTTCGAATGGTTGGTTAATCAGCATAGGGACTCTTATTCCTCCTACATGGGACATTTTGATGTTTTAAATTTCTTTAGTATAGCTGAAAACGAAGCTAAGGCAAGAGTAAGATTTAATCTGATGGAAAGAATGTTGCAACCATGTGGACCACCTCCAGAGAAGGCAGAGGAATAATGATTTTATTTTGATTTTGAATTTTTTATGTTTTATATTTTTGTTCATGTGAAGTTTTATTGTAAATATTTGTATTAATAAATTTGTATTAAGAAATATTCTAATGGTACATTGCAACCCTATGTTTATTTCATTTGAGTTATACATTTGGTTTTATTGCAAAAAAATCATCTTGATGGAGCAAAGTAAGAAAAAAGTACATTTTTGATAGAACTAAACTTTTAACTACATGTTCATGTATTTTGACCTTATTTATCAATTCAAAGCCTCGTAAGTATATCAAAGTGATAGAAATTCCATTATATATGAAAAATATATAAAGTGCACTATGTTGTGATTTCACTGACAAAATTCATCAAAGTATTTTGTGATTTAACTATGGAATATTACTAAATAACTTTAACTAAAAACTGATGATTTGTACTGTTACTTATATTTTTATTATTTATTTTATTAAGGTGTTTTTTTAAAATAACTTAATTTGTTTTAAATACAATTTCTGGTTGTTATTAATGAAGGAGGTATTGGTAAATACTGGTTTTCTATTTAATATCTATATAAGTTTTATTTTTTGGCTGTGATAAGCTTTTTAATTAGACCTATAAAGGCTACAGTGCATTATTCGGATGGAGGAAAACTAGCTTCTTAATTTCCTATTTTTTTGAAAGAATTTCTACTTATTGAGAACATTCAAAATATTTATCACTTGTTATCTTCAATATGATATTTTATTATTTGTTTTTAATCCATTGAAGTTTTATTCTTTGATGTTTACTTCTGCTAAGCTTCTTTTATGAAGAGGTACTGTGTGATTCATAGCACTCAATCAATTAATTTAGTAAGTTTACAAACAAAACTCCATATCAAGCAATCAATTTATTTATTAATTTTACTGATGAAACATTTTAGTTTTATGTGATGCATAGTTTTTTAAAAATGTGTGGAAGAGCATTCATGATTGAAAATATGTATATTATATTGACAAAATCTATCCGATATATGAGTACATTTACCAGCTGAGATGGTTGATTAATGTGTTTAGTTAAATTATAGTTACCTATTAGTTCTGATGTAATGATTGTCATTTTTTTAAATTTATATATATGGATTACATTTATTCCATCCAGAATCAATGAAAACAGTCTTCAACAGTCAGTGTGTTAGTATGCTATCAAATTATGAAATACTAAAACAATTTTCTTTTTTAATTTTTATAAAACTGGAGATTGTGTAACATATTGAGATAAACACAATTCATTTTAAAGGTTTTTAATTTAAATTAGGAAAGGGCTGATTTATTTTAGAATATTCCTCTTATAGAATTATACTTGTTCTGAATAACAGAACCTTTAACATGTTGAATCTTAGCTCTTTAATGAAGAAGGTCCAATAGATTGAGATTATTAATTATCTTATCTACCTTATCATTGATTTTTAAGTGCATTATATTGCAATAGTACATTAGTTTGTTGAAATTCATGCTATAATGTTGTTATACTTTGTCTTCTTTATAGTATCAATTCTGTACTTGTTATTTATTTATGTCTCATGGAATGAAGATTACTGGTTAAAACAAAGAATTCCATTTGTAGAACCAGAGAAATTATTTGGTAATATTAAGGACGTTATATTAATGAAAAAGACAATAGGTGAAGTGTATCAAGATATTTACAGGTAAATATTTTGTATTTAAATTTTATTTAGAACTACTAAAGTTTTGTATGGAATACAATTGTATATCCATCCTCAGCATTAATTTTTTATGACATAAAAGTTTGTTTATAATTCAAAATTTCCCATGATTGGTAATAGGAATTCGAAAATTTGAATTTTTTTTTTTTAAGGATATTAAGGTTTATTATAATTATAGTGACAGGAATTAGTGAACATTATGCCACACAATGTACCTCAAATCAGAGCACTTTAATTATTCTTAGGTCCTTTGTCACAGAGTAAAATTGTTATTTCACTTCATTTCATGTGGCATCTCCTTTTATGACATATAGCATTTAATTAACTGCTGATTATGTTTTGTTTTAAGTATAATATCAATTTATTTTTGATAATTGCCTTTAGTGATTTTTCATCTAGTTATGGTTTCTGTGGTATTAAACAGTAATTATCTCTTTCTTCTACTTAAACTGATTTCTTTTTTCATTTTGGTCTCTGTAATTTTATATTTTGTTTTTTAAGAATAGGAGATGTTATGGTAAATTTCTAGAAAAAAGTATTCGAGATTTGTTTTTTTATTACTTAATTTTTTACTGAGAATTTGTATTTCTTTTTTTGGTGTTTATTTTTATTCAGCGTTAAAATATAGTGTATATATTATTGGTTTTGTTTTCGTATAAATCATAAACTTCTAATGTCTATATTTTTTGCTATATATTTCATTTTCTTATCCATATATCCATATATATGTATATGTGTGTGTGTGTATATATATATATAAAATATAATTATCAATATGTATAATTAATATATTTAATAATTAATATGTATAATTATCAAATGTAATTACTTTACAAGATGGTAATTACTTCCAAGAATGTTATGTTGAATCAGCTTATGTCTGTAGGATAATACTCCCTTTTCCAGAAATGGCTACTTATGGAAAAAAAAAAAGGTAATAGTTAAGCCAGTCCTATTTGTAGCCATTATTTTTACCACAATGAGGCATTTAGAGTTCCCTCTAAAGAAAATAAATTGAGAAGAATATACAGTTCATTCAAGGATTGATTTAAGTGAATTATGTGGTATACAAAAAATTGGGATCAGTTAATATTCGATTATTGAAAATCAGATTTTAAATCTCCTTAATTATATACCTGTTTACTGTTTATAAATTAAGGTTAATTTTATTATTTAGAATTCGATTATTAATTAGATATATTTATTATTTTATGCAGGTTTATTTTTGTTATCTTAGTAAATAGTGAATTTTTTTTTACAGCAAACTTCATGGAAAACCTGTTGGAGGTTTTTTCAAAATGAAACAGCCAATCTTAATGGTTAGGCATCCTGATCTTATTGCTGAAATCTTAGATAAAAAATTTGAATCTTTTCATGACAATGATATCCACATTAGGCGAGATGCTGATCCTATTTTAAAATTGAATCCTGTACTTGCTGTTGGTCCAATGTAGGTTGTTTATTTATTATTATTTTTGTTCAATTTACCTGATGGTATGATTTCTTTGTGTTATTTTATATTTTAATCTATTTTAAACTGACAGTTAAAACAATTGTTTCTCTTTTACTTAATCATTTTTGTGTTGTTAAGGTGGACAGCTACAAGATCAGTTCTCACACCTTTACAGTCCCATGAAACTTTAGAAGGTTTGCTTTATATTATTAAAATATCTTGTAAGAACATGATGAATTATATTACCCAGCAAAAAATTCCAATTGAGGTATACATTTTATATATTTTTTTAAATAAGTGTATTTGTATTATAATCAATATTTTTATGAATAATTTTAAATTTTACTTTTCACTGTTTCGTTATAGGTGAAAGATTTATCTTCAAAGTTTACAAGCGATGTAATTGCATCATGTTCTTTAGGCACTGAACCTAATTCTTTTAAGAGATGTGATACTCAGTTTAGAAAAATGTCTGACAAATTATTACAAAAAGATTTGAAATCTAATGCTGCTCTTCTTTTCGCTCTTTATGCTCCAATGTTTGGTAACCTTTTCAGCTTCAGGTAATCTATTAAGTGTTGTCTGGCATTTTAAAGTATTTTTACTGTACTCTGAATATTGATTTAAAAACAAAATAAACATGCATAAAGCATATACATTAATAAAAGATGCACTTCATAATTGTGTCTATTTTAAACTAAAAACAATTAACATGAAAGTGTAAACCATCAATTTATTAAGAGTAAATAACGTTTTTCATTCAAAAGAGAAAAAGTGAAAAAATACTGTATAGTATATTGTCTGTTTCAAACATTCAGTTCTTTAGAAAATATTCTTGGATCTTGAAATATAAATATACTTGATTGCTAGTTGATTTACATTGAAGATCCTTGAAAATATTTTTTGAAGTAATTAATAATTAATCCTATTGAAGAATTGACTCAAGCTCTGCACTTTAACATTAAGATACATAAAAGGCAAATAATTCAAGATTATTGAATTTAGTTAAAAATAAAGAAACTGTTTTGAAATGGATTTTTTCATATAAGAGATAGGGTTAATCAAATACTTTTAGTTTGGTTCAAAAGTTAAATTGATGAAGTCACAAAATCATTCAGACAGATAATAATTAAAAAAAGAGATAAAACAAGATAGTACTCAAATATAATGAAAAACTAATTAAAACAAAAATTATTGTTTCTTAATTTAACTATAGCTGATAAAAAATTTAATATTATCTCCTAAAATGGTTTAATTTCATATGCACACAAGAAAGAACAGGAGAATTATGTTAAAAAAAGAAAGACATATAGTGACAACCTCAATACTTAAATAAAAGTACAAGAAATTAAATAAAAATTAATTAGTTCTGATATAAAATTAATAAACTTGTAAAATATTTTATATATATATATATATATGTTATATCACAACACATTAGTTTATATAATGTTTGCTATCTTTATAGCTATTTTAAACTGCAATTTATATAAATTTACAAAATAAATCACTATTTATAGCTTAATTGTTTTTAAAAATTTTAAATATCATTATTACAAATAACTTATTTTGTTTATAAAAAAATATTATTTCAACTATAAAATTTAATTAAATTTACTAAAAACATTTTTTAACTGCATTAGTATTTAGGATAGTTTCTGTTTATCTATTAAAAATATTTGATAAGTTTAGAATATTAAAAGATAGTTAAACATTATAGGTAGGATTTTATCTTAATATATTAAGATTGCAGCTTTGTAATGGCTAGACATTGCTGTAGAAATAATGTGAAACCATTAAAGAGTTAAGACACTGGTTCAGATTTGTTCTCGATTAAGTTTTATACAATTTAGTAACCTACAGAGATGATTATTTAAATTATCTGGTTTTGTATGCAACTTAGCTTTTATCATTCAAGACATTTTTTTATAAATTTAGAAAAAAGTTATTCTGTTCGTTGTAGTTATTTGTATGCCTTGACCCCATGTGGTCGTCAACTGGTTGTTACTGTTGCAAAATAGTAAATTAATGATTTGGAAATGCTTATAAGCTATCTATTAGTTAAAGACATTCCAAAAATAAGATAAGATAGTAATTTTTATTGATAACACCCTGAGAGACACACTTATCAAAAGCTTCCATAATAATTATATTTGATTTATTTGTAATTTTATTTATAAAATTTAATCTAATTTATAATATAAATTTAATATAGATAAAAAACAAAACAAAAAATATTAGTAAACATGTGAAATGTAAGTTTTTTTTTTAATGTAATAAAGTAATTAATCTAGACTGAATATAATAAATACAGTGGTATAGTATACATATCTTTTTCTGTTCTCAGTAGCAATGGATGTTGATGTATAAAGTTTCAAACAAAAGAGAATTCATGGAGAAGTGACCGATGTCAATTTTGTAACTTAAAATCTTACTACAACTACTTTCTAGTTTTTGACCAGATTTGTTTTTTGTTTATTTGGACATACTTCTTATTCTTAAGGGATCTTGTCCAAGAATATAAGTTTCTATCCATCTATCTACAATTTCCATAAAATATATTAAAAAAGTCAGAGGTTTCAAAGTTCCATGGTGCTAAGTCTCTTGGATCGATAAAGAATTTTGTTTTAAAGATTGTTCATCAAAATCAGGTAAGGTTTCTTTGAAACCTTATCGGGTCCTGCATTTTAAATTTCTACAGTTTTATTAAAGATAAATTGTAATTCTTGCAGACAGTCTCATAGGTGACATGGTTGCCTTGTGTTTTTATCACTTGACATGGTTGCCATGTATATTTATCACTTACTATGTTATTTTTAAAACCATTTACTATTTATTATAGTCTACTACATACAAAAAACCTATTGAAAAGTGAAACAAAGATGAATATTACTGAGTTCTCTTTTGGCACCTTGGATAATACAGATTTATTTACTGAGGAAGGATATGGTCCGTGGCGGTCATAAAAAGTTTATAGTTTTTATGACATTTTTTGTTTGATTATAATCATGATAATTAGAAAGATTTCTAAATTCCCCCTGATGAAAAAAATATTGAAATAGGCCCATTATTACCAAAGATACAACCAATTGTAATTTGTATTTATTTATGTGCACTGCCATCTCCTGAATATTATATAATGGCCAACCATCAAGTATTCAATATGACACAGATTTATTTATGTTTGTTTATTCTTATTTTCAGTTTATATTTTTTTGGAGAGCTGTGTTAGACAGTTTAAGTATCGTTTTAATTATTAACTGAATTATTCTAGGAGATGTTAAGTTTTTGATTATTTGAAAAAAACTAATAAAAAGTGAACTGGTTAGTATGGAACCCAATTCAATATTACAAATGCCTTTGTATATTATTTCTCAGAGGTTTTGTTTTGCTGATATACCATATTTTCTTTAATTATTTGTCAAATCCAATGAACGAACCATCATTTTGAAAATTATTTTCTCCTTCAGATGTAAAAAATAAGGTCATTCTACAAGAAAGTCAGGAAAAAAGTTAAAAGAAAAGGAAACTCTATTTATATCCAACTCAAAACAGCAAACATCTTTTGTTTGATTATAATCATGATAATATTAGAAAGGTTTCTGAATTCCCTCCCTGATAAAAAAAATATTGAAATAGGATCATTATTACCAAAGATACTGCTAATTGTAATTTGTACACATGTTATGATTTATTATTTTTTATGATTCATTTTTTATTAACCAAGGCAAAAGAAGTTAATTTCTCCTTCTTGTGACACATTCCATTAACTTATCTCCATATTATATTGCAGTTTGTTTACTGACCAATTTGTCTATGCAAGTTATTCTCATGGACCAACTAGTTACTTTAAAATTTACTTGTAGTAACTTAAAATAAAATAAATCAATTTGATAAATAAGGTATTCAATTTTAATAAGTGAATATAAGAAGACATTTTTTCATTGAAGTAATTTACAAAACCATTTTAAAATAAAAACAAAATCAAATACTACAGTATACTGACGAATCAAGGAAGACGAGGGATGAGGAAGGAGGCTTTTTGGTTGATTGGTGTCCTAAGTATGGATGAGGCATGAAGGAAGGTAAATAGTCTGCAACTTTTCAAACTTGTGCAGTTCAGTTCTTGTTAGAATGTGGCTGTTTTATTGTTTTATTTACTGGTAGTTTTATTACTTTTAGTTTTATTTTATTGTTTGTATTTTTCCTGAAAATAATAGACTATTGCAGTTGGCAAAATTCAGGTGTGGTAAAGGGTGACAGTTGCCACCTCAGAATTGTCCAAATCAGTATTTAACCACCTCTAGGATTTTTATTTTCATTTTAATAGAATTTTAATGTAAACGTCTCAATGATTTATAAACAATTCAGAAATACCATTTTATATATATAAAGCTATTTTTTCATATCATTAAATACCTCCCAAACTCCCCTCTACCTGGGAGTATTTCATATCCCTTGATATTTATTAGGCTTGCCACCACTGTTAAAATCTACCTGAGGAATTTGAGGTTAAATCACTTAATAAACAACTATATTTGTACAAATAATAATCAATTGAGTTTAATGAAAACTTGTACTATTACAGTTACAAAACAGTCTAAAACTAACCAGTTACAAATGTCTTCTTTTCAAACTAAATAGTAATATTTGAATGGAAATCTGATAAGAAATACTTGGTGTAAATGTGTAATATTCGGACATGTTTATGGAGCATCATCACAAGTTTGATGTCTTATTGACTGTTTTAATTGATCCTTAACTGTTTTATATTGACACCTCCTGAAGGTTATGAAAATCATAGAAGTGTTCCATAACTTTCTGAGTTGGTAGGATATACATTTCACTTTATTTTTGTTCAATAGTTCAAGCATTTGTTATTGAAAATGTAGTCAGTTAATAGAAATTTTCCTGTTTTTTAGGTTGTTTTGTTAAAAGTGCTTTGTTTGAGCTGGTGGTTAGTTATTTTCTATTTAAAGTTTCTCAACTTTTCACTGTCATCATGGTAAAGCAGAAAAAAATATAAGAATTTTTTTCCCGTTTATTTAGTTTGAAAAAAATGCCTGTTTTTTAAATTTTTTATAAAGACTATAATTTAAACTATGTTCCAGCAAATAATTATTTTCTAATTTTTAAAAAGTATTAGTCAAGAGGAATTTGTTATAATTACTCATTGCCACCGTAAACCACATGCATTTTTCAGTACGATATCTTGGTCAACATTAACGATTTCTTAACAATATTTCGGTCTCTTCTAAAACTGAGACGGCTCTCAATTCTATTGATTTTAACAAACATATCGAACTTAAAAAGAAATGTGAACAAGTAGGCAGTTAATTTTTCCGAAAAATACCTTGACCAAAATAATAAACAAAAAATTGATATTATATTGGTTTAACATTTATATAATTTTTTCCTTGGATAAAACTAAATAGAAATCTATTGTTTATTTTCGTTCTATTCTAAATAAAGAAACACAATACCATTCTGATTACTAGGATGTACTATGAAAACTCAAATAGATAGGTAATCAAGTGATCAAGACCTATTAACTAGGGATCTTCTTTTGGCAAAGAAAATGATTTTCATTTTTCTTTGTTTTTGTTTATTTTCATTCTTTGGCTTTCAAGTATTTTTAGCTCTTTTTTTCCTCCTTAGTTCTAAATTCTTCTATTCTCTATCTTATTTTTGTAATTTATGCTGGCAATCTTGTGCACTGATTTAGATGTTACATATAATACATAAAATATATTATCTAATTCAATGGATACTTGTTAAGTTTTTAATATGATAATATTTTTTTGTTCAATCACATCTCCCCTTAATGAAATAATGATTATAAATAGAAATATATTATTAATATAAATTATAAATAGAAATATGTATATAGAAGTATAATTTTATTAATTTTAATAGAAGTATAATTTTTATGAATTGTTTATGTAAAATTAAACATTTCTGAGAGTTTCCTAATGGTCATATTCTATGTTAATTTATTGCCAAATTTCAAAACTCTAAGATTAAATAGGAGATTCAAAATTTCCTTTGTTATTTTTGGAAATTTTCCCATTTTGATATTATATTTGGGTTCCTTGACCTTGAAAAATGGGAGTTTATGTAATAATTGGTAATTATTCACGCACACTCGCACGCATGCACGTGTACACACACACACACACACACACACACGTGCACACATAGGTGTACATACACAATGAGTGAATTGAAAATCTATCATGATTTTGGTAGCGTCTTTAGTGGTTTATCTGAAATCATTAAGGTTTTATGTTTGTAATAAGTTAATTGTAATGCTATGTTAGTAAAAAGTTTGAAAAATAAATAAATTAAAACTTATAAAGGATATTAAAGGATTTTTTGAAAAAATTTTACTTGACTTTTTTCTAATTGAATTATATATATATATATATATATATATATATATATATATATATATATATATATATATATATATATATATATATATTGTATGTATTTTCCTATCATCCACATATGGAGAATGCAATTTAAAGAAACCTAAATTGTCACTTTATTTGTTTTAGAATCATATCAAAAGACATTTGTAAGTATTTTGTTAGTGTTATTTCTGATAACTGTAAGCAGAGAGTACAACAAGGCATTAAGAGAAAAGATTTTTTACAGCGCCTCATTGATATTAATAAAGAATCTGAAGCTAGCGGAGAAGGTACTGGTAAGTGACATCAGTTTACAAAAGTTTCTTAGGTATTATGAATTCACATTAAAGATATAGAATACAATGTGTCCAAATTGTCTTTTTTTTACAGTTTACAATTATCAGTCAATTATGGGACATTGTATGTCTATATTCATCAATGGCTACAATATGACTTCTCATCCTCTTGGATTTTGTCTACATAATTTAGCAATGAATCCAGAGGTTCAGGACAAACTTAGGAAAGAGATAAAAACATTTGGTATTTCATCTATAGATGCTCTCAGTTATTATCTCATTGAAAGTATGGAATATTTAGACATGGTTGTGTGTGGTAAGAATATTTGTTTAAGTTAATTGCTGAAGATTAAACTTTATTCAAACTAAGTTATGTTTGTAAATTGCATCATTTTAAAGCTATTGATTTGTTCAAATGAAATAAAATAAATGTATTTTCCCTGTGGCTCCCCTTAGAATAATCTATAGGTCATTGATTCATTAGCATTATTACTGCTAGGAGAATAACAGTTCAATTGAATTGAATGAAGAGGTAACACATGAGAGGAAAAAAGGATATCAAAATTGAAAAGAAAAAGATATATTTTGGGAGTGAATTTTGAGTTTGAATTGAAGAAGTTGGAAGATGTAAGAAGAATGTTGGGATAGGACAAGAGATTTGTGAAGGAATCGTCCAGATCTATGAAAACTGTTCATGGAAGAGCTGTTGGGATAGTCGATAAATCAATTTTATTTGATGAAAACTTTGAAAACATTTTTTTGGATATTTATAACATTTATATTTAAAAAATAAGAGTTTGCCACCTTTAAAAATGGTGGCTGAATTAAAGAACATTTGGCCATTAATTTGAGAATCGAAACGGGAGATTCATTGCAAAAAATTTTTTAAAAATTTCTATTTTTTTAATTCTTGGTTGATGGTTAACTGTAGTGAATAATGAAGAGAAGGATGATTGGAGTGATCATTCAAAATAAAAATGCCAAAAATAAATAATATTTATTTTAACATTTGCCGACGTTTCGGCCCGAAGTTCAGGCCTTCATCAGGGCTGAAAAAAGAACCAGATAACAATAGGTATGAGAAACATAAACAATGTAGAAAAACAAAGTAAAATGAAGTAGATAAGTGAACATTAAAGTAAAATAATGTAGGTAGAATAATGACAATAAAAAGAACAAGAAATAAATAATAGTAACGGTTACAATGTGCGGACTAATGAAGTAAACATAATCAGAATAAGGTAACATAAGAACTAAAATGGTTCTTAGAATAAAATGTAAAACTGAGGAAAGGAATATGAAGTTATATAAGAAATAAACATAAATAGAAAAATTGAGGTATTGCAAATAGAATAGTTTAAAAAGAAAATTGAGATATTGTAAAGTCTATCAAAATGTACTGACTTTGTATAAGAGAATAAAGAGTTAAAATAAAGTAAAAAATAAATGAGTGAATGTATCAATATATAAAAAGTGGAGATGGAGATATGGAAAATAGAGTGACAGAAAGGAAAAATAAGTAGAAAAGTAAGATAAAATAGACAACCAACCTGATCGAAGCAATTGTTTGAATAGAATGGAGGTATGGTAGCAAGAGAGGGGAACTATATTGTTGCGTCATATCTGATGGTTGACTGAGAGAGTTTTAAACTAAAGTACTGGAAGCATATGTAATGTACGACAGATATATTATAGATAAATATTATGAATTATTAAATGAAAGTTTAATTAAAAGAGGATGGAAATAATCTGGAGATAGTATAAAACAGAGATAATAAAAATTAAATAAATGTTAAGTAATAATGGAGAATACTTAAAATTAATATATATATATATATATATATACATATATTAATATATAGATATATTAATTATATATAATAATTATAATATTAATTGATAATTATTATATATTATAATATAATTATTATATTAATTGATATATTAACAAACAAAACGTATCCTTACGTATATTCTGAATTTTTTAAAATATCCTTAACAATCCAATCTCTTTTTTCTTTTCGCTTACAACTTCCTTATTTCTCTTAAATATAATTCATTTCCATTCTTGTTAATCTTATTTATATATTCGTTTATATGTATATATATATATTTTTGTTTTTTTTCTCTGCTGTAGTAACCCTACAGAGGAGGCTTATATTTTTTAGAAGTGTGCATACACCATACAAAAGCATATTATATGCATTATATTGTTATTTAGTATATAACTATAAATATAACTTATTACAATATGTGTTGGTTAAAGATATTTAAAAAGAATGGTGCTTAATATGTATTACAACGAGAATATTATAGATGTTTAAATAAAGTAAATAACAATAAACGAATAAATAAAGTAAATAACAGTATCAGATGAATGAACAGTACCAAAATATACTAAAACAAAATACTCTAAAACTGAGCCAAAATCAAATACAAAAACTATGCAGAGAATAAACAAATGTTACAAATTTACAATTGAGTATCTACAAAATAAGGAATAAAATACATAAGTCTAACTTTAAAAGTATATTAAATAAAAGAGATATGCTGGAATGTCTTATAATTTTATGCTATTAATGAATTACTTCAACTGTTTCTTGTATTTTTTGTATAGTATGGGTTCAGGAAGGGGCTATGTTTCTCCTTGAGTCAAAGAGGATTTCAGGAAGGTGGCTCTTTTGTGTTCATATAACTGGCAGTCGTTTAAAATGTGTATGAAATTTTGTGGAGTCAGTCCGTCACAATTGCATGCGTCTGTCGCTTTTAAGTGGAATCTTTTTAGATATTGGTTAGTTGGGCCGTGTTCAGTAAGGAATTGGGTTAGTTTATAATGGGTGCTTTTTGTTGTGTGATGTTTGGAATGTATTTATGTAATGGTCGTCCTTTGGTAGATTGTTGCCAATGTCTGTTCCACTCTTCGATTAAATCAGTCCATAAGAGTTTTTTAACGTAAGTGAAGGGGGCTAAATTATATTCATAAGGCAGTTGAATATCACAAGCAGCTACTTTTGCCATTGCATCAGCTTTTTCGTTTCCATGGACGCCGCTGTGTCCCTTTACCCAAATCAGTTGTGTTTTTATGTCCAAGTTCATCAGTTCGATAAAATTGTTTCTAAGTTGAGCTGTTAGTGGGTCTTGTATTTTATTGTTTTTTATTGAGTAAATGGCTATTTTATTGTCAGTATAGATGTTGTAAATAGATTCAGTTTTGTCTTTTTGTCGTAAAATGTAGTCCGTAGCCTTTAGAACTGCCAGTTTTTCTGCCTGATTATTGGAGCAATTCTGTCCGAGTCTGTGTAGTTCTTCATAATAGTCGCCGTCTCCTTTTGTAATAAATGCGCAGCCTGTTTTGTGCTCTTGTTTACTTCCGTCCGTGTAAATGTCCACGATGTTTGTTTGTAGTTCTACTGTTTCTTCCAAGTACTGTATTAGTTTGGCTTGTATTGCTGGGTGTAACCGTTGTTCTAAGGGTTGCTCTCCTTCGACGTTGTCGCGTACTATGTCTTTGTATCCCATTGTGTGTTTTTCAATTTTGTATATTGTAGTCAGTTCTGTGATTTTGTAACGTATTGGAAGTATACCTGCTAAGACACAAGCTGCATCATATGATACGGTGTTAAATGCTTTGCTTATCCTGATAGCCATAAGCCGCTGTACCCGTTGCAGTTTGGTGAGGTTGTTCTGCTTCTTGGCATCTGATTCCCACACTGGTATAGCGTACAAGATTTTTGGTACTATAGCACCTTTGTAGACCAAGCTTTAATACCTTGGTCCCTAGTCCCCAAGTTAATCTTGCTGCAATAGTGAGGGCATTTATCGTCTTCAGAGATCTATTAACTACCATATCTGCGTGGGTTTTCCAATTCAGTCTCCGGTCGAATATCAATCCTAGATAATTCATTGTATCTGTCTGTTCTAGTTTCTTGAAGTAGAGTCTTATGTTCAACTTAAGCAGTTTCTGCTTTCGTGTAAATAGCATGTATTTTGTCTTGTCTGTATTAAAGTCTAGTTTGTTAGCTGTAGCCCATTTTTCTAAGATGATAATAGATTGGTTGGTCAGCACTTGTAATTTTAGTAATAGCTTGTCTTTTACTAGTAGAAGGATATCGTCGGCATAAGCTAAGATGTGTGCTCCGTCAGGCAATTTTAAATCGAAAATTGTATTGAGAAGGACGTTCCAGAGTGTAGGAGAAAGACATGAGCCTTGTGGTATACCAGTTGTTAGGTGCTTTTTAAATATGTAGTTATTTGTCCTAATTTCAATCGTCCTGTCTTCGAAAAAACTGGAAATAAAAAGATATTTTTTGGGCAATTGTATTTTCTCAGGTTTTCTAATATAATTGGTATCCATGCATTGTCGAAAGCTCCAACAATGTCTAATTTGAGCATAATGCAATTAGATTTTGTTTCCAGGGCACTTTCAATGTAAGTTTTTGCATTGTACAGAGCATCTATTGTACTTTTTTGTGGTCTAAATCCAAACTGATTAGTATGCAATATTTGGTTAACTGTTAAGTAGTGTGTCAGTCTATTATTGATTAATTTGTCTAGGACTTTGCTCATGATTGGTTGGATCGTTATAGGTCGTAATTTGTTAGAATCTCGTTTGGGTATTATGTGTAGTAACCCTTTTTTCCAGGTTGCCAGTATGATTGACTGTTGCCATATAAGTTGGTAAATATATGTGATTAAGTTAGGATATGATTCTGTCATGTGCTGTAAGATTTCAGTATTAATTTTGTCGTGTCCTGGTGTTTTATTCTTGTTTAAATCATTTATGACGTATAGAACCTCGGCCTTTTCCAAAGAGCTGTCATTGTCAGTATTTGGGGATATTTTGAGTCTCCTTCTTAAGTTTATTTGTTCTAGTGTATCGTTTGTGGATGTATCTTGTTTAACAAGAGTGTTAAGCACATGTTCTAGTGTTTGCTTCATGTTTATAGTATGGTTGTTTTCATCATTGAATAGAGTTCTGAGGACTTCTTGACTTTTAATAGTGTTAGATGCGTACTTGTAAGCCCAGTTCATGGATTTGTTTCTTCGGTGCAATATTTTTCCCAAGATGTGATTTTCGATTGTTTGATTAGTGCTTGGTATTTGTGACGGCAGGTGAGATATTCTTGTTTACGTTGTTCTCTTTTGAGGATATCTGTTTTGGTCTTCTGGTATGATTTTCTAAGTTTGTTAGTCGTTTTCCTGAGACTAGTTAATTCGTGATTCCACCATGGTACCGTCCGATGTTGTTTGTTTTTATTATAGCTGTTCGTATTGGATATTTTAAATGTCGCGTTGCACGCTTTTTTTATTGCGGAG